CTTTTACTAACTTTCTCTTTCTCGGTCTCTCTCTCTCTCTCCATCTCTCCCCATCTCTCTCCCTCTCTCTCCCTCTCTCTCTCTCTCTCTCTCTCTCTGTTACTCTCTCTCCTTTTCATTGGCTAATTGAATCCTACACCTAGCTGAAGCTTAATCATAAATTCTTATATAAAGTTATTTAAGGTATGAAAAACACTTGAATTAAGTTTATTTAATTTTTTTGTAATTTTTATAAGTCAAGTTGAACTCTTTATAAGCACGAAAGCGCATCGAATCAATCTTTACTAAAAACAAAATAATCTCAATACGTTCAGCTCATTTTCACCTTGAAATAAAATAAATATAGTCTTAAATTAGGACAATTCTATGCTTGAAAAAAACTCTAGTGTGAGCTTGAATGAGTATATATTAATATCGAAACAAGCCTTCATTTACTTTAACTTACTTTAGACTTTCTTTAGTAAAGTACATAATGGAAAATCTTAAAGCTCACAAATTACCTTAAATCAGGCGTAAAATATGAGATAACAAATGTTAAATATAAATACGAGACGAAGTGTAACTACAATCCTCATTAAATCAAATTGCAATTGCAAATGTCTATGTTTATTCTATGCAACTCTATCATCAGGCCTGGTCTCGATTTCAACTCATTTCCTTCCCTTTCACTTGCAGATGGCGTACGCCTAAAACACGCGGAAAACTCGTGCGTTATGTAATAGCCGCAGCAGCAGAGGTGGTCACAGCAAGCGATATATAGCGAGCAAGGCGAAGAGGAAGAGAGTGTGTGTCTCGTAGATTTTGGATAAATAGAAATCGAAAATGTGCAAGGGCAGCAAACCAAACACGACGACGACAACTGCAAATGCAACTGCAACTGCAACAGCACTCACAAACTTATTAGCAAAATGCACAAAGTCAACAAACGGTCCCAACGGCAACAACATTGACAGCATCAACGCTAGCAACTGTCAACAGAGACGCATGCTAGGGGCAGCTGCGGCAGGCGGCAGCAACGAAGAAGAACCACAAAAACAGGGAGCCAAACATCAAAACATGCAGCTGCAGCAGCAGCAGCAGGAGCAGGAACATAATCAGCGGCAACATCAACAACGTCAGGAACAAGGACATCAAATAAAGCAAATGGCAACGGGGACAATTGGTGAGGCAGTCGCCATTGCGCCAGCCAAAGAACTTGAACAGAAACACGAATTTGGACGAGACCAAGAACAGCGTCGTCGACATTGCAATAATGTTGCCAGAGTGCAGCATCAGCAACAACAACAGCTACAGCAGCGGCAGCAGCCACAGCGGCAGCAACAGTTCAAGCTGCATCAACGTAGCTGTCTCTCGATTGTCCTGTGGTTGACGCTCGCAACGACTGCAGCAGCAGCAGCAGCAGCAACAACAGCCAAGCCAGCAGCAACGACAACTGTGTCCACAATTGCCCAGCGCTCCGCCCGCTCGTTGAACAGCGGCCACAAGACTCTGAGCAGCGGCGTCAGCAGCGGGCTTATCGGTGGCAAAAGCAACGCACGAGAGCTACACTACGAGCTGAACAGCGGCGCCAGTGCCGGCAATGGCGCTGGCGGCGGTGGTGGAGCAGCCGGCATCGAGTGTCCCAGCTTCGATGATAGCTCCGCCTGTCCCTGCTACAAGTTCGAAGATGGTAAGTCCAAACGGCCGGCCGGGTAGTCCGGTCTAGCTAATTAAACGCATCAAAGCCGAACAGAGCTAGGTTTATTGCACCCAAAAACGTGTGGACACGCACAATAACAAATCACGACAGCACCCGCCCTTATGTATGTGTGCGCGTGTGTGTGTGTGTGTGTGTGTACATGCAAAGATTGTTTACTTTGACACCAGAGAGCATCTGTAGAGCAGCATTTTAGAGTGAACACCACTTGAATACGAATGCACACACACCGAGTACTCACATGTATTCATTGTTATCAAGTCAATTAAATCAAGTATTGTCAGCAGCTCATGAGAAACTAGGCATGTATTATTAACATTATTATTATATATATTATATTATGATTAGATTATTAGCAATCATTTTCTTTGTGAGCAGTTGGACGTTCTTTAAGACCGTCCAAAGCTTTAATGTGCTTTTTTCCTCCGATTTTTAAGTTAATTTCAGTCCGATGAGCTTTCAAACAGATTAAGTCTATGTAGAAGAGAAAATAGCTAAACGGATCTTTCAGACTTCTTTCAAATAAGCTCAGCTTGCCTTAAGCTTTAGTTTTCGACAGCCCCACAAGTAGGCTTAGTAAGAGCTTAATACTTGTATGCTTTTATGTGAGTCCAGTTCGATAAGCGCAATAAAGCCTTTTATTGACTGCTGCACAGTAAGGATTGTCTGTTTCTATCGCATAAGGATTAAGTTTAGTTTCTATTTTCCATTTATTGATTATTTACATTGCTCTAATGCATTTATTTATAGAATGCGTTCAATTTGCAAGAATTTCGATAACATTATGTTTTACTTAAGCTGATTATTTACTTGTCTGTTTAAATCCTAAGAGCGAATAAAATGCCAAAACAGAGACACACACACACACTTGCAAGTTGAACTACTTATGCCACACTCGAACGCACCGCTATAGCCGTGTGTGCCGTTCTGTCCGTCTGCTTACTCAAGCTGTGTCTGTTTGCCAGGTGAAGTTTGAGGCATCATTAACTAATAACATTCGCCTGCAAGGAGAATAATATAGAGGTCATAGTGGCATCAGTCTGCTCGGTGTTGGGTCTGGGGGCAGGCTTATTGAAATGCGCGTCGCGCAACTTGTTGCAATTGATGTTTAATTTCTGTGCTTGTTATTTCGCAGGCCTGTTTCTGGAGTGTCCTGGCACGACAGCGTTGTCGCTGCGCTCGACGCTGGAACGCATCTCGGCGCCGATACACTCGCTGTCCATTTACGATTTTGATCGGTCCGTGACATCACTCTCGCAGGACGTTATACAGCCGGGCGTGCACATACGGCATCTGCAGTTCTCGCACTCGCACCTGGAAGCGCTCAAGGAGAACAGCCTGCGCAATGTGCGCGGCAGTCTGGAGTCTCTGAGCATTGTCAATGGCAAATTAACGCAGGTAAGCGGCTAACAAATTACATTGCGTATACGCCATGTGCAACACTTTGCCTTTGCCAACGCACACACAAAACAAATACTGACATGGTTCAGCTGGCAGGTTACCTCAAAGTGGCACTATTGTCGCTGGCACCTGTTTTCGAGGGCGTTGCCTGCAGCAAAATAAGTGAAAACTGAGCAAAAGTGGGGCAAACGCAACGTAGGCGACAGACACCAAAAATAATTGCATGCAAATTTATTGCACTTTACATTTTGCTGCTGTTGCTGCTGCCGCTGCTGCTTGTCGCTGCAACCGTTGGCTTGTGGCATGCCAACGCCAGCCACGCCCCCCAGTCAACGCCCTAACTAACGGTGTGACAATCATCTGTTGGCTGTCAGCTAACAACACAACACAACACACGAAAGGCAGCAGCAACAGCAACGGCGATTAATGTGTGCCAGCCACACGGCCCACTTGACTGAAGTGTGAAAAAAATGTGTATAAATGAGCATGAGTTTAAAAATTAAACAAACTTCACTAAGAAGCCTAGCAAGACGCCTTACTAATAAATAATTATAAATTAGAGGTAAGAGTAATAACTTCTGCGATTTTAAGATATTCCACTCACTTATCAACCGAATACAAATTTCACAGCTTGAAATTATATTTAATATTTTTATATATTTATATTTCAATTTAGATTTATAATTGTTATTGTGATCTCTTCACAAAATTCACATCAAACAGATACAGATTAAATAACTGAAATAAATTGTTAAGGATTTGCGGACGATTCGCTCTTAATATTTTTTTTATTTTGAGCCAAAACATTTCAATAAAGATATATTCAAATGTTTTGGTTCTAGGTCCAGTTCATGATAAACAAACCGCTTTGATTAACTTGTTAATTTTATGCATTTATTCAAAATGTTTTCCAATTGGATTATTGATTTTCAACACCGCGCAAAAGTATGCTATGGAAGCTTACCTGCTTCTAATATGGCGGCCGTGGGCGGCTGTCTCTCATTTCCGGTTGTCCAAAATTCATTGCCTACTTACGGGCTGCATTAATAAAATGTCGAGTGCAAAACTTGGCTCTGGCGTGGCGATAATCAGTTGCCTATCAAACAAATATATAAATTACTCTTGTTAATTAAACAAACAAATAACTTACCCTCGTTAATTGTGTCAACTAAGACTGAACGAATGTTTATTTAAATTTTGCAAAATTTAATCAAGTCACGAGCGCTCAGAACTGATTGTTAGCTGCATAATAAAATACATAACCGGTAAAGTATTTGTTTGCTGCTGCTGTTGATGCTGTTGTTCGTTTTGGCGGTGAGATTGCGGCTGGTGATGGTGATGCAGCCAAAGCTAATTAGCGGCGCCAACATACGGCGTCAATAATGTTGAACAAAGTTGGGCAACCGAAAAAATGCAAATGGCTTTCTAAGCCATTAAATTTGGAAAAACAGCCGCCACAGCAGCAGCAGCAACAGCAACAGCAACAGCAACAGCAACAGTGGCAGTGGCAGTGGCAACAGTGGCTACAGTGGCAACGGCAACGGCAACGGCAACGGCAACGGCATCGACCGTTAACGTAAACCCGACAAGCGGCACTTGGGCAGCCATAAAAAGTAATTTGCCGCCGCGAAATAACAAACGATCCAAAGCTAAAAACAATTGCGTTCAATATAATAATTTTGGCCGAGCGCGGTGGCCGCAGCGGCTGGCTGGCAAAAGGCATCCAGCTGGAAACATGTATACAGAGGCGATGGGCGTGGCACCATTGGTTCCTGCTCTCCATGGCACTGCTTGCAATTAAATGGTTAATACTGCAGAATGTTCACTTTGTTGGTTTTATTTATATCAAAAAGAGAAAAACAATGTGCAACGGTAGAAGAATAAAACGCTTGCAGAAATCTTCTTAGCCAGCTGTTTGTGTGACATTTACAAGCCCTGGTCTGCGGGTGGTCGTGTTCCGAGGTGGCGGCGGGGGCAGTACTGGCCTAATGGTCACATCGGGCCTCCCAGTGAGCGGCAGCGGTGCGCAGGCACGAGGCTTATCACCCAGCTGCATCGGGCCACAGAGGCGCTTGTCTGCCGGCAGCCAATCTGCAAAGGAACGAGCGAGAAGACGAGTGAGCTGTGAAGTAGGACACCTGGGGATTGGCAGCACTTACTGTTGCGTGGACGCGAGTGGCAGTTGCTGTTTAGCAGCTGGCAGCGGTTGGCCACCACCTTGCACTGCCGATGGTTGCGTGAACGCACGCATATCTCCTGGGAGCGGGGCGTGCGTCGACAGGCCACCGGTCGCCTGGGACAGTCCTGATGGCACCAGGTCGCGTATGCTGCGCCCACGCCGCGCACCGTACGGCAGTCACGCTCCTGGGTGTGCGTCCAAGTCAGCTGATTGCTGCTGCTCAGATCCGGGCGATTCAGCTCCAACAGCTCGCAAATATTCCTGAAGCGACGGCACATACCATCCTCAGCGCGGCCGCAGACACGCGGACTACGCGCAGCACAAACAGCGGGCAGCCGACACAGCGGCCAACGCGTGGGCAAAATGGTGACCGGTCCCGAAGTAGGTATCAATGTGGGCGTCCAGGCATCAATCGGCGACGACAGCAGCAACAAAAGCGCCGCGCTGAGCACAATTACTGCAAACAGCAAGTGAACAAGTAGCAACTTAGCGAATCCCCAGGACTACAATACCGGCGAAAGCACCTACCAATTAACCTGGTCAACTGCATGTTGTTATGTGAGCCGTGTCTGGTGTACAAGTTGTTGGCTCGGACTTCTCGCACAACGTTTTTATAGCTCCTGCATCTAGGCAAAACAAAGGACCGGCTGCCGAATGCAGTCGGCACATTCTTTGTTTGCCATGCGTCGTCTTTTGTCTGACTACTGAGAATGCCATTGACCTTAACAACAAAATGAAGCACCTGAATGGCCGTTTATGTGACTTTTGGGGTGTAGGTGTTAAGAAAACACTAAGTATAGTATATCTAGCTTTTATTTAAACTTATTTGGAGGCAATATTTAAAGAAGAAATCTGCCGGCTGTTTTCAGCTTTAAAACGAGTTAAAATATATTGAATAATTAGAAGCAAAAATATATCATTAAAATTTAAAAAAAAAGCCATGCTGTTCCTCCACTCTATATTTAACCCAAGCCCAAACTGTTCAATAATTTAATTTTGTATCAATTTGTAAATATGTATGTAGCAAAAATAATTAATTTAATATACATAATTATTATTTAATTAGCTTGTGGGTTATGTGGCCAAGGCTTTAAGATTATTTCAACTTTTAATATTTTTAAATATTAATTAAATAAACATTTAATTAAATTTTATTTATTATCGCTAATATTAAAAATGTTTAAAGAAGAGTTCTGCATTGCTAAAAACAGATTTTTCATTGGGGCGTGGCACAGCTAACAAAAAAGTGAAAGCAAAAAAACGTCGAAATTTATTGCATAGTGTAATAGATATTAATTAGAACTTATAATCTAGGCTGTCAATTATAATGTGGAAGCACTTAAAGTATTTTTATCTTCTTTTTGTCTCACATAATTATTATTTTTATATTATTATAATCATTATTATTATTACTATTTTCTTTCTTTTTCTTCAACAATATAAAATTCAAGTTGTACATGAATTGATATTAATAGATATTTTAGAGAATACAAGCTATATAGGTGTATTCTCTTAGCAATATCGCGCCTTGTTTTACTTATAAGAAACAAGAAACATCAGCATGATTTATCGTTCAAAACATTCAATTGTCTGCCATTCTGATGGGATGAAAGAAACACGTGTCGCGCGGCATACAAATGAATGTAAATGGGAGCAACATTTAGTTGCTTCTGTAAGACAATAAGACAGTTAACGTGCGCGCTTGACTGGGGCTGGCCACATATAAATAGCCAGCCCGATCCGTTGGCAATCATCAACAACATAAGTTAGCTCCCGATAACAGCTGCAGTTCCAACCAAGTAGAATGATGTTGAAGCTTACAACTTGCTGCCTGCTTCTTGTCGTGCTGCTGGCTTGCGCCGAGGCAAACACGGGCGCCTCGACGGTGTGCGTGGGTCGCTGCCACATCCTGGATCTGCATGACAAGCGAAGGGTGTGCACTCGGGATGCTAAAACGAACTTGTGCACCAAGATGCTGCCTTGCCGGCTGCGCGAACGCAACTGCGCACTCAGAAGTCTGGGCCTACCGCCGCTTAGGGAGACCAGCCTCGGGCAGTGCGCCAATGTTGTGAGCAGCACCGGCACCGCTCGATGTGTGCTCATACCACGCCCCACCAAACCCAGGCATGTCAGCTGCATTGACAAGACCTGCAACAGGCAGCTGCCCAACAGCTGCTGGCGCACCAGAGACGGACGTAACCTTTGGTTGAGCCTCTGCGTTGCCCGGGAGAGGAACTGCATCAACTGGAACAACCCGCAACTGCAGCTGGTGCGCATCCTCGATGTGCAGTGCCGCTCAAAGCCGCCCGTTATTAAGGGCTAAGCACGCTGACAACGACGGTATACGCACATATATATATATATATATATATATATATATATATATACATATATAGTCCACGCATATATATTTTATATTTTATTATATAGCTACTTCTCCCTTCTTTTTATTCCTTGGTTGCTTCGCATCAAATTCAAAACGCTCGTAAATATTTCATAATGTTGCGACAATAAAAATAAATATCATTTTATGGCAGGCTTTTCTTTGTTCTGCTTTTATTCCTGTCTCTGCTGCTCCACTTCCATGTTACCTCATCCCTCCCCAGCACTTGCCACAGCCGCTGGCCAGGCGCTGGCTCCTCGCATGACTTGGCCATAAATTTGCTGAGGCGCGTTTCAAGGCGCCAAGCCAAAAGCGGCAACTGAGCGGCCCGAGCGGACCAAGCGGCGTCGCAAATGTTCAATAAATTAAAATCGACTGCCATAAATTTCCATGTCAGTACATTAATTAAAAGCCCGTAATTCGCTTGGCCATGTCACAGGGCCCAGACTCCGCCCTGTCCAGTCCGTGTGCAGTCACCTGCTAGGCCCCCCGCCCACATGCCGGCTCAGTTGTAGCGGAAGTTTTGTAATTTAATGCAATTAAAAAGCCAAACAGTCCGAAAAGGAAAATGTGTTCATTTCATTTGCAGATAGAGGATCGCATAGCCACTTCGCATACAAATCCTTAGACAGCAAATCGAGCAGAGCCTTTTTTGACTGTCTATAGCTCAGATTTGGGGCTACGCTAAGGCCAGGGCTGCAAAGCTCTAACAACTTCTAATTGGTTCGAACCGACTTTCTGCTTTGGGGTTCTACTCATGTATCTGATTTCCATTTGCATAGGCCCAGGGTTTGGATCACAGCTCATGAACGAATGCCACAATCAAGTTTTTAACTTAGAATTAACTATCTATCCATAATTGGCTTCAAACAAATATGGTCAAAGAAATCATATTGTTGGAGCTCGGCTCATAATAAAAATGATTTAAAAGTCCGGTCCCTAACCGGTTCTATTCAAAGGCGGCTTGCAGACCTGGCTGAAACTAATTGGCTAAGCTACTTATATTCTTTTACATAACTACCTTTAGAATAGAGTGGGATAATTTTTCCGAATGTTTGGTCTAGCTCACTGCGGTAATACCATAGACCAAAAGTATCCTTAGCGTATAATTAAGCCTGCTTAGCTTAGTAACTGATCAAGTCTGCTTAACCAAACGAGCTTAACTTAATTTATAATAAGCGAGTTTATCTTAGCTTGTTCTAACTTGTTTAGGACTATAATATATATACAGCTGCAGCATCAATTGAAATGTCAAATGTCAAATGTGAGCCATTTTGTCAACTGCTTCAAATTTACCAATAACTAATTGAACATATCGCACTATTTATCGAACTGGTATAGATTGATTCAAAACTTTTACAATGAGTCGCAGCTCGTGCAGCTGCAAAGGAAGAAGACTTCAATGACTCATTGCAAACCTTATTATTATGATTTCGAATGAAGGAAAATGTATATTACAAAAACTTATATATCTATTAAACAAATATCTTAAGGCTGTCATGAAAATGTGCGTTTAGATATCGTTATCATTTTATCGGTCAGATGCATTCAAGTAAGACATTTAATAATTGTTGGTATATGGTGAACAATTTTGTTTATGAGATTTTCGATTTGGCTGGCTTTAGATCTTGATATTTTTGCATTTTAATAAAAACACAATTTATCAGTTTTTGTTTTCTCCGAAATATATTGAGTCTCTTCAAGAGAAATTAAAAAGCTTGCGCTATTTGCGCTACGATGCCCAAAATTTCGTTCTCTGTCTGCTCTATTGTCTTCTTTTATTTTAAATTGATTTCAAGTGCAATATTTATATTTAATAAAAATACATACATATACGTATAATAAATAATAAAATAGCACTGGCAACTACGTCCTGTGATTTGAGCCCGCAACCTCGTAGCTTATTAATCAAATAAATACACTTACTTAACTTCGGGTGCAGAGCCTTTAACTATTTCAGAGGAACCTGGGAATGAAACGAACATTGTGGCCGGCGGCAAGCTTTATTTGGGAAAAGCTGTTGGCAACTCTGTTCGCCTCAAAATGGCTGTGCGTGTCGCCTTTTAAAATAGATTTTGTTGCTATCAAAGTGTGCATTGCACTTTGCGTTTCAGGATCGGCATACGTCTAGGCTGGTTATATTCATTTCAGAGCAAATCTCGTCGAGTTACAAGCTTAAATATCAGCGCTCCAATAAAATAAAAATTTATAAAAGGAAAACTTACATTTTTTCATTTGTTTGGTTAAGAAGAGTTAAAGCAACGTTACGTGAAGATGCGTCGGGCAGCTCAAAGCAAAGGCAATAATAGTGGCGAACCGTCATCCAAGAAGGAGAAAATGGACAAGAAGAGTGATAAGAAGGCGGGATCCAAGGCACCGCTGGCGCCGAACATTGCGAAGAAGAAGATAAAGACGCCCTCGCCGGCATCATCGGCCAGCAGCGATACCGACAGCGACTCCACCAGCTGCTCCAGTGGCTCATCGAGCAGCTCCTCCTCTTCATCGTCGAGCGAGTCCGAGAGCGACTCGGAAAGAAAGAAGCGCCGCCATCGTCGCTCACGAAAAACTAAATCTTCAAAAAACTCCAAGTACAAATCGAAGCGCAGCCGCTCGCGCAAGAGGGCTCCTGTGATGGCGGCTGTGCCGACTCCTGTGCCGCCGCCCCTGCCAGCTATTGTTCCTGCGCCTGTTCCACCGCCAAGCTCGGCTCCAATGCCATTGCCAATACCATTACCCATACCAATACCAATACCAGTAACACCAACACCGAAGGCAGCTCCGCCAGCAATAGAGATTTGGTCTCCGGTTCCCTGCTCCAAGCAGCGCGGCCGCAGTCTCCATAGTAGCCGCTCTGGGCTGCCAGGCATTGAATCCAAGAGCGGGTGCAAGCACTCGACAAAGTCGCCAACTCCGAAATCCAAGAATAAATCGCCGCCAAAATCAAAATCAAAAGACAAGGATAAGAGCACAACTGTGGCCACAAAATCCAATAAGGATCGCCAGCCGGCTGCAGCCACAAAGTCCAAGGAGAAAGAGAAGGAAAGGGAGAGGCGCCCAGCGGAGCGGCCATCGTCGCGGGGCAAAGAAAAAGACAAGAACAGAGACAAGAGCTCAACTGCCAAGTGTAAGGATGTGGATAAGGCTTTGACTTCGGCTTCAGCCTCGGC